CAGAGGGACTAACATGACGAGGCAGCAAACATGTCTATAAACCAATCAAAGGCCGTACGCATCACCTGCAGCAGGTAGACGGCGTCAAACCTGGTAACCCTGTCATGTTTCCACTGACCACCAGGGGGCAGCAAACATGTCTATAAACCAATCAAAGGCCGTACGCATCACCTGCAGCAGGTAGACGGCATCAAACCTGGTAACCCTGTCATGTTTCCACTGACCACCAGGGGGCAGCAAACATGTCTATAAACCAATCAAAGCTTGTACGCATCACCTGCAGCAGGTAGATGGCATCAAACCTGGTAACCCTGTCATGTTTCCACTGACCACCAGGGGGCAGCGTGAAGTGCAGTTATCACAGGACTCCCTGAGCAGCAGCGTGTTGGAAGATGGTGCTGCTGGTCCTCCCCCACCCACCTGCGTTCCCCATGGCGTTGAAGATCTTCTCAGTGACGTCCAGAATGCAGTCGGTGGCCTCTCCGTGGCGCCCGATGGGCTGGCCGCCGCTGGCGTACTGCTTGATGTGCTGCAGCAGCTCGTTGAGCGCCTGGGTGACGCCCGTGGCCGCCTGGCCCACCTGCTTCAGCAGACCCTCCTCATTGGTGGCCATCTGTGACGCCTCCACGCAGCCTTCCACCGACTTGGCCACCAGCTTCCCAGCCTCGATCAGCTGCTCCTGGCAGACCGGGGAGCTGATGGTTGGAGCCACCACCTCCAGGACAGAGAAGAAGAAGAAACAAGCTTAGGTGGACCTTAAAGACCACTTAGTCACATCATCATTGTTGGTGTTTAGCGAAGAAGCTTTTCAGGTGGAGTTTGAGGGAAGGATTTTCATTTTCTAGTAACTCTTGATCATTGAAGGCGTTCCTCTACACTCTGCAGAGCGCAGAGAACGACCCAAGGAATCTAGAGGAGACAACCAAACATCCAACACTGAAGAAACTGATGGATTTTACTGTGACTTCTGGTGTTTGAGGTGATAATCTGGTTTATTCTATAAGATTAAGGGAAGGGATGTGATGAAGTCCTTTATTCCAAAGGAAACTTCCAGAGAAACGGCCGTCTGGACGTCCCTCAGGGGGGAAGCCCTTACAGGTCTGTGCTTTGCCACACAGAACCCAGAACTGGGTCAGAACCTGATGACATCCTGAGGAGGAAAGGAAGGCCTTGGATTGGACCAGGAACGACTAGAGTATGATGCTCTGAGTTCGACCAAAGCATCATGATGGTAGGGGCCCAGATGGCTTCTATCTCAATACAAACATGGAGTTAGTAGCTGATGAGGTAAAGGCTATTATTAGTGTTTAACAGAAACCTCAGAATAAATTCCTCCAGTTATCTGGGTCATGTTCTGCCTAACTGGGTCCACTTTCAGCGGAATACCAGTAACGGACTGGGTCCCAGTACTCACCCTGGTGCAGGCCACCAGCTGGGACGTGGACAGGGCGCACTGCGTGGCCGCTGCGATGACGCGGTTCTGCTGGGCCGAGTCCTCCGTCTTCTGGGCCACGTTCTTGGCTTTGAGCACCAGTGCCGCTGCGGCGTTCGCCACGGCTTTGGCCAGCTGCATCAACATGTCCTGTGGAAGAGAGCAGCGCTTTGATGGTGAGGAGTCAGCCTTCAAGTCCTGATTTAATGATTCAATGTGAAATCAGGGATCAACCAGCACCGATTACTGGGAGGCCAATCAACAGAGCCACCAGATCTGACACTGATGAAGACCAAACAACTCCTCATCATCCTCCTTCATTCGCTTCATCAGAAGGTTCTCCAGGAAGGTTTACCTTTAGATCATACCAGAACAGAACCGCCAGTGCTGAGAGGAGACGGGCGCCGTTCTGTCAGATCAGCATAATCGATACGCAGGAAGTCAGGTTTACATTGATCCCTTTAGCTTTGCATCATAAATAGACTTTAAACTACCTCACTGGGAGCCGCAGCCTTCTGTCCCAAAATACCAACATTTCCAACAAAGGCTGTGAGTAACAGGTGGTATTTGAATTATTTATTGTAAAAGCAAAGAAAAAATAATTACTAAAAGAAAAATGATAATTTAATGTTTAAAGGTCTAAAAATATTGGTCAAAAAATCATTTTACAAAACAATCCACCAATTAACAACGTCATCTAAACAATTCCAAATATAAAAAACTAAATGTCTAATTCTGGTTCCAAATTAACTGAAATATATTTTTCATATCAAAAGAAGAAAATTTAATTGGTAGAAATAACAAATTGCATACATTTAGCATAAACGGCCACAACAACAGGCGTGTTTCTCTTCAGTCATTTATAAAACAAAGCAAATTAAGGTCAGATGGCCATACGCTCCAAAAACACCAGAAAGTAATTAATTAGTTTTTTTGTACATAACTAAAGGGATGCACCCCCGTTCAGGTAGTTTAAGGTGTATTTTTCGTACAACACTAATGAGATAAGTAAAGGATAAACGGGTGTTGACTGATCTGACAGAACACTGGTCCAGAAACATCCAGAGAAACATCTTCTGTCAGCAGCGGTGAAAACCTGCAGCCTGGATGCTGAGGCTGAATCTGATTGGTTGGAAGTAAAGAGGTTCATCTAAGCAGAGCTAGAAGGACAGCAGCCTGAACTCAGCCGTCTGATAAACCTTTTCTGATTGGGTATGAAGATGCAGAGAATTAAGCAGAGACGTCCACTTGATTGGTCATTCCTTATTCCTACATCTTCTACCTGAACTTCAGTGGGAGTTCTCCATCTGGCATCCCTGTAAGATCCTCCTCCCCGAAGCTGTCAGATACATTCATCAAACACCAGACATTACAGGAACAGAAAACCTGCTAAACATGGAGCAGATAAAGCCTGCTGGGTTTCCCTTGTTTAAAGACTGAGGTTTAGGTCTATGGATCTTTCTCACTCTGCCTGACTGCCTTCACATCTCAGGACTCATTCATTGAGTTTTTATTGGTCCCACCCTTCGTGCTGCATCCCCACCCCTCCCTTCATCACCTCCTAAATGCAGCTCCTCCTCCTGTCAGAACAACGTGGGGCTTCCTTCCTCCATGTTCCAACATGAAGCAGGTCCTAGTGACCACAGGTGGTGAAGCAGAACCTGACTGGAGTCTGGAACTCCACCCCTTCAGGTTGGAGGGCAAACTGTGAGCCAGACATCATCCTCTGATGATGTTACCACAGACTGAGCTGTAGAGAGTTCCTCTCCTGTCAGGCTGTAAAAATGGAAAAGCTCCAACAGTAGAGGTGATCAAACCTGGAACTGTGGATCCGTGTCCGTCTCTCCGATGTGGGACAGCAGCTCTCCACTGGCCTGACCAACGTTTCCTGCAGCCTGCAGCAGGTTCTGACGAGGCTGCAGCAGCGAGATACGAAGAACATGAAGCTCATTGAATGCAGACAGAAACCAGAGCACGGTCCCTGCTCCTTCAGCCGTCTACCTCTGTATTAGCCGGCTGCGCCGTCTTCAGCATGTCAGAAACGGCGCCGGCCAGGTTCTTGGCTGCACCCAGCAGCTGCTGCCCGTTTCCACCTTCATCCTCCATGAGGGCTGCCAGGAGCTTCACACCTTTAGACATCTCCGTCAGGTTGGAGGAGATGGTGGTGACGGCACAGCCCACCGCCGTATAGTCCGTCTCAGCTGGATCTCCTAAGAACAAACATGGCCGACGCATTTACTCCAACAGTTAGCATCATTTCCTCTAATGCAGGAAATAAACTATATTATAAAGCCTGAGATCATTGATTATTAACAGTAACTATATTAAACCATTATAAAGCCTGAGTTATTCTTTAATAAATGTGTGTTTCCGCTTCTGTTTTGGCATCACAGTGAGGACCATTGTTCTAAATTTAACAATCAAACAATATATCAAAGAATATTTGGACCAAAGTGAAGAAATTTAGCTGCTCATCATTTTCTTAACTGCAAACGATAAGGCTTCAGGGTAACAGTTAGGTAGGGGCCGGTAATGGTTAGCTAGGGGCTAGTAACGAGCTAGTAACAGTTTGAAGGGGCCTGTAATGGGTAGTGGGCAGTAACAGTTAGTTAGGAACTTGTAACGGTTATATAGGGGGCGTAACAGTTAGCTAGGGGATGGTACCAGTTAGCTAGGGGATGGTACCAGTTAGCTAGGGGATGGTAACAGTTAGCTAGGGGATGGTAACAGTTAGCTAGGGGATGGTAACAGTTAGCTAGGGGATGGTAACAGTTAGCTAGGGGATGGTAACAGTTAGGT